GGTCAAATGATATGGGTTGGTTTCTACATGGTATAAATAGGCATTTTTTAATAATTCATGTTCTGTCTTGTTATAAATTACTTGTCTTCAGATCTCATTCATCTATCGGACAATAATCACGTACCTCAGGAATGTCCTATTGCTCCTGAAATGTCCAGTCGTGAGTGCCTCCATTTTGTGCATCTGATGTTTGCCTGTCTCGACGACTTTGTTGTTGGTTGGTGCTCAGCACATACGAACACAGCTGTCGATCTGGCCGAACTGACACGTCTGGGTCTTGTTCTGGCCCTCTCTATCAAACGTTTCTTCGGTTTGAATTGGCTTGGCGTGAGTTTACGTGGCACTGGTGTTTCCACGGCTCACCAATACAACTTGTGCCACCTATGAAAACTAGCTTGTTTGCCATCAATTGTTCGAAATGCTTATATTAAAATGGTGATGTTTACTTTCGTCTACAGAATTTACTGCTGCGAGCGACGCAGCGCGCAGCAGAAAACTTGAATGATGGCTTTGTCTGCCTCGGTTCCGAGGATGGGCCAATAATGACCATGTTACTTTCCCTCTCCTCCAACGATTTCTCTTGGAAACACAAAGTGAAGGGGACGGAGACTTACCACTACTCGTTTCTGAGAATTTGGGCTCCAGATTTAAATTTTTCGCTTTCGAAATCGTTGGTTGTTGACGCAGTTCACCGCAATATTTGCGAGATATTCACCACTAAGGCTCTCGAGGTATTGTTTTCCCACATGCAAGTGCTTATCCTAATGCCAATGAACAAACTTTGAGGAACTGAAGTTGTACCTTGAGGGTTTAGTAGTTATGCTCTCTTCATAGGTGTGTCCAGCATTTTTAAATTAATGGACGAGGCGTTATTTGTTCTATTCTCTCTATTACATTAAATTTTGACGGTATTAAAAATGCATCTAGCTTCGGCACTTGACTGCTCACTTCCCTCTAGTGCATTGTCTCTGCGAATCTTGAGCCACCTTCGCCCTTCAAAGCATACATGAAGGAAATAAAGCGTCTCACATTGCTCCTATACGGTGAGAAGTCGTCCTTCCTCAGATCTCAGGCCAGCGACGAGGGCTCCGAGACATCTTTCTCGCTAATCGGTAGACTTAAACAGTGAACAGTACATTCTATGGTTTTATGGTGCTTGATTGAAATACTTCCTACTTTCGATGCCATACGTTTAAATTTATTGCGCTAGCATTCATTTTTTCTGTAGTGATTGTGGTTACCTGCAGATCATTCCATTGCGAACACATGCATAGGTCTGCGAACAATGACAGTAAAATGGAGCTCGTCTGTCAAGACCTAGTTCAAGTGCAGCGATGCTTTAACTTTCTAATCGGTTTACTGAATCTCTTAGACGGCGAAAGTGATTTGAGAGCGGTGTGGGAGGAGAAAAGAAAGAAGATCGATGCAATCAACCCTTGGCGGCTGTCAATTCTCAGACTGGCCGGCAAATGGTATGCCGGCTCTCTCGACTTTGAGGACATTGAGCCAAATGGACACATCACTCCATGCCTGTCAAGTAGACATGGCGATGCTCAGCTAATTTCGCTGGCTTATAAGTAAGGCGTCGTTTCTCTTCTAGCGTGACTACTTTCCGTCTACGACCTTTTTGCAGGACACAGAGTATTAGACGAATAATCGTGTCGACGTACTGCATTATAAGTCTTAAGCGAAGATATGCTGATACAACTATGATAGGTCATGTGATTTATAATTTTCAGTAGTCTAAGTTGCACCATTTGTGGTTGCTTGTCGTAGCTAATCCACGCTTTTGTGACATCCTTTGCGCAGTCCTGATGCAACCCTGATTTACCTTTTTCACGAAAAATGCTGGCACTAACATCTTATTACATAGGTATATAGTAAAATGACCTGTTCGAACACAATTCTATCATTAATTGCATCTAGCCTGTTGC